CGATTGACCTTCCGCGACCCTGAAAAAAAAAACAATAAACTACAAACTACAAACTATTACCTGTAACGCATTTTTACATAAAGCATAAATATGCTGCAAACCACACATATTTTTGCTGTTATAATTAACAATCACATGTTTTTCCAAATTTTCAATTATAAAATTGTGTTTTCTATATGTCATTAACATTTTTCATGAAGAAAAACTTCTTTATATAACAACATATGTATGTAAATGGTGTGTACTCCAACGGACTAATAATGTCCGGACCTAATTTTATATTAATATCTAATGATTTGGCACTTAAAATTAAACCAATGAAATTAAACTGGAGCTTATAACCAATATTTTTATATTCTCTTTTATTTTTTACTTTACAGAATCGCCTATTTTTGCTGAAATATTCAAGGTATCGGTTTGAAAATTTTTAATTAACTGCAGAGATTCAATTAAGTACTCTGTTTCTAGTTTTGTAATCGTCGCCGAAACAAATTGATATCCGCTTTAATAAATACTAATTCGTTCAGCAAAGAATGTTTTTTAAAAATTTGATGACATTGCGATAGCACTGCAGTCCTCATTTGAAAATTTTAAAGCGTTCAGAATTTCTGGGGGAAATGGTTATTATTTAGATGCTTTTATTTACAAACATAATATCACATCTCATACATATGTTTCACTCGATTTTGACATGCAACCATTTTTTTTTTGTTTAACTAATAAGAATTAATTTTTTAATTGTGTTTAATACTAACAAAACTAAAATTAACAATGTTAGTGGAACCGTAATCAATCAATAATTTTTTTTCGGGAATTTTTTTGTTTCAGAAGCTTTGTGTTCTATTTTGTATTAATTTTTACATATTTTTAGTCACAATTTTGGTGGTTTTTTATTTTTGATACTTTCTCAATTTTTCGATTTTTCGACTTCTCGACTTTTCGACACCTCGATTTGTCGATCTTTTGATTTCTCGATGACTCAGTTTTGGAATGTTTGGATGTTTCGATTTTTGAATTATCCGATTTTTCAATTTTCCAATTTTTTAAATTTTCAACTTTCGATTTCTCGGTTTCTTTTTAGATTTTCGAAATTTTGTTTTGCTGATTTTTTGATGTTTGGAATTCTCCATTTTTCAATTTTATGATATTTTAATTTTAGATTTTCTATTTTTCAGTTCTTCAACATTTTTTTTATTTTTCAATTTTAAATTTTCGATTTTTGGATTTTTCAGTTCTTCAGTTCATCAATTTTTCGATTTTTTAAGTTTGCTAATTTTAGACTTTGCTTTTTTGGCTTTTCGATTTCTCATTTTTTTAATTTTTTAATTTTCCAATTTTTGGATATTTGGTTCACTTTTGTGATTTTTCAATTTTTCCATTCTTCAGTTTTTCTTCTATTTTTCAATTTATTCGATATTTCAGTTTGGGAATTATTTAGTATTTCGACCTTTCGATTTTACAAGTTCCGGATGTTTCGATTTCTCGACTTTTAACTTTTTGGATTTTCAAATTTTTGTTTTTAAACTTTCAATTTTTTGACTTTTTTTTGTACTCCGATTTCTCAATTTTGCAACTTTTCAATTTTTAAAATTTTAGGTTTTTCGATTTCTTGAATTTTCAGTTCTTCTATATTCGAATTTTTCAATTTTCGGAATTCTCAAATTTTCGATTTTCCAATTTATTTTTTAATCTTTCGATTATTTAATTTTTCGATGTTTCGTAATATAAATAGGCTAAAACCGAAAAGTCGAAAAGTTAAAAATAGAAAAACTGGTAAATCGAGAGATTGAATAATCAAAACATCGAAACATCCGAATCTTGATAAATTGAGATCTCAAAAAATTGAAAAATCGAAAATTAAAGAAGTCGGAAAATGCAAAAAATAAAATATAGAAAAACTGAAATAATAAATTAAAATATATCGAAAAATTGAGAAATCGAAATATAAAACAGCGAAAAATTGAAAAATCTAAGGTTTAAAAAACGAAAAACTGAAAATCCAAGAAATAAAAAATCGAAAAATCGAGAAGTCGAAGAATCGAAATATTGAAAAATCCCAAAACTGAAAGAAATATCCAAAAATTGAGAAATTAAAAAATATAAAAATTGAGAAATCGAAAACCAATACAGCAAAGTTGAAAATTCGAAGAATTGAAGAACTGAAAAATCGAAACTTTCTGAAGTCAAGAAATGGGAAAATCAAAAATAGATTAATTGAGAAATCGAAAAACTGAAATTTTAGCAACGTCAAAAATTGAAAACATGAAAAATAGAAATACTGAAGAATTGAAAAAAAAAATCCAGAAATCCAGAAATCTAAAATTTAAAACGTTGAACAAATAAAATATTGCCAAATTGAAAAATCGAGAAATCCAAACATCAAAAAATCAAAAAATAAACATTTGAAAATCTAAAATTTAAAATCGAAAAAGTGAAAAATCGACAAATGGAGAAATCGAAACCCCAGAATCTAAAAAATTGAAAAATTGAAAAATCGGATAACTGAAAAATCGGAAAATTGGAAAATCGGAAAAATGAAAAGCATAAAAGTAAAAAATCGAAAAACCGAGAAATCAAAAAATCGAAACATCGAAAAATTCAAAAACTGAGACATCGAGCAATCGAAAAAAAGATCGAGAAACTGAGGATTCGAAAGTCGAGAAGAAAAGTTAAAAATTGAAAAATCCAGAAATTGAACAATCAAAACATCGAAACATCGGAACTCGATAAATCGAGAAATCCAAAAATTGAAAAATCGAAAAATTTTAAAAAAGAAAAATTGGAAAATTGAAAATTTAAAAATTCGGAACATTGAAAAATTGAAATAAAGAAGAACTAAAAACTCGAGAAGTCGAAAAATTTGGAATGTTAAAACTGAAAAATTAAAACATCGAAAAGTTGAAAAATTGACAAACTGAAGTATAAATCTAAAGTTTAACGAAAAATTCAAAATCCAAAAAGTAAAAAGTGGAGAAATCAAAAATCCAGAAGTCCAAAAATCGACAAGTTGAGAAATCCCAAAACTGAAAGAAATACTTACACAAAAAATTGAGAAATAAAAAAATTGGAAAATTGAGAAATCGAAAAACTAAAAAAGCAAAGTCGAAAAATTGTAAGCTTAAAAAATGGAATTTAAATTGAAAAATCAAAAACCTGAAAAATCGAAAAATTGAAGAATTAGAAACAATTGGAACTTTAGGAAGTCGGAAAATGGGAAAATAAAAAAAAGAAATCGGAAAACTGAAAATTCAGAAAATTAAAAATTTGAAAAATTGAAAAATCAAAAATTTGAAAATCGTAAAATTGAAGAGGACAAAAATTGAGAATTCGTATCATTGAAACATTGGAAAATTGAGAAATCAGAAAATAAAAAAATCGAGAAATCGAAAATTTAAAGAATGAAAAAATTGAAAAAGCCCAAAATTGAAATATTAAAAAATTGAGACATCTATAGGTGAAAAATCGAGACATCGAAAAGCCGAAAAATCTTAATATAGTATTTATAAAACACAAGTTTAGGACTATGCTATCTTTTAACATTTAAATAACATTTATTCGACAAAATTGTAAGATGACATCATCAATTCCTAGGGGGCATGAACGGATAAATTTTGACTAACGATTTAACATGCTTCTAGCAACATTGGAAAATGTTGTTGATTTTTTTTTTTACAAAAATCGTGACATCTCAGGTAAAAACTTAACATGAATTCATAACTCGTAAACGGAGGGTATAAAATTTAAATTACATCTACTGTTGCAAAATTTGGAGACTACGTAATTTCATTGTTGGTGACAAATTTTGGTGAGCGTTCTATCATTTGATAATACAACTTGTAATGTAAATTTTGTCATTCGGGTACATTATGTACTAAATCGTTAAAATGTTCAAGAACTTTGTTCACTTATACGTGGTAAAGTCCGACCAGATGGTCGAAACCGAAAGTCGGCTTATATCTAGATAAATCGCTTAGAGATGATATTGGCCTGAGTGCCCTCTGGTCTGCAGATCAAACAAGTTCTCAGGCGACGATATATGCTCAAACCGACAAAATATGCAATGGATCGTCCAAATGTGCAAAATATGCAATAATTAATCGTCATCAATCAATTTAAAAAAGGGTAATTACTAAATAACTCAATTGTTTTATTTTGAGAAAAAATCCAAAAAGAACCAGGGACATATTTTGATGTCGAATTTAACGTTAGCTCATTGCCACTGGCATTCGCAGACTAACACACTATCTGCCTTTATAAACTATTTTGAGTTTATTTTTGTTGATATTTAAAAAGTCGATGTCTTGTTGCCTTCCACAGAAAACAGGGTGCATTGAAGCTGAATAAAAGTAATTCTTATAAGTCATATTGCTAGACTATTATGATTTTTTAGATGTTTTAACTGGGCGGTTTCTAAATGGTCGTGAACTTCCATCTTTTGCCTAAACTTATTGCCCTCCTTTCGTTCTACATTAACTTTTTGTCTTCCTTATGGAGGTCATCCTTAACGTGAACCCATATTTCAAACAACTAAACATCTCAAACAAAAAACAATCGACTAGAAAATTTCACTGGGTCGCAACTAATTGGACACTTAGATCCAATTTTCTTCCTAACTACTTGTAAACAGATCAAGATTTTCACTCCACTTCCTAAATTCGTAAATTTGCGTAGGTCCATAATTTGGTCCGATTGCGCTAATTCAAGGTGTGGGCAATCCGGTAGTCGCTCCGGAGCACACACACATCAATCGATCCAAATTCACTAGAAGTCACCACAGTCTCCAAACTGCAATAACTCCGCATCGCTCCTCAACCAAAAAACACAAAACTTTTATATTCCCGCATTCTTGAAATACTGATAGAACTAGAATAATTTCCCGGATTTCCCTCCACTTTGCGCAAGTACAAACAATCGTCATCTGTCGTGCGAATCCGCCGGATCCGCATGCTACCCGTTAAACATCCATGCAACGTGAAATCAGAAATCAGTCGTTGGTGAGCGGTGTTGCGGTGTGTAGGTGCTGAAGAAATGTTCGCAAACTCGCGTCGACATAACCCGATGTCGATGCGGCCGAAATTCTTCCGGGAAATCGCTCGAAAATCCTAAAATGCCGTTAACGGCCAAAGAATTCTGTGATTCAGTGAGTTCGCGGTGTCGCTGGGCTTTACAATGTTGATGCAAGAAGTTGTGTGCGGTGTTGTGCTCGTGTTCACCTCTTGTATTGTATACCTGTCTGCTTCACCGTTAGACCCCGTGCGGCATATGAAAGGTGAGTTCGAAGTCATAAGCGCGACGCGAATACACGTGGATGGAGGGATCTTTCCAGCGAAATTGGCGGGCTCGACTAAAGGAATAAATCACCAAAAGTGGAGATTGCTCGACCCGACACACAAAAAAAAAATGTGCGCGAACACCTAGTTAAGTTCGTACACAGGAACCGTAATTACTTACCTTTGTACCTTTGTTCAAGAACACCCTAATCTCTTAAGGCCATCGATTCGATTTGTAATCCTTTTGTAGCATTTATTAGTTCGTGAAGTTTTACAAGAAGTTTTAAACTTATTGAATAGGGGTGTTAGAAAAAAGTCGAGTGTACAATTTATGGTTGAATGAAAGATTCTGCAAAAATAAGTTAAGAAATTACACCTCCCGTATTGCTAATCGTTAATAAAATATTAGAAAATTGCTTCATCTTAAAGTATTTGATCCTAATTTATGAATAAATCAAAAATTAAAAATTTTATTTCTTCAATAAGTAACGTCATGAAATTCAATATTGTTGCTGTCAAACCAATGTTCTGTAACACACTATATTACAGAGTTGTTCTTCTAGTGTAAGTTCTAGTTCGTCGATTTTGTTTACCGAACATTGGAAATTTTTATGCATAATACGTATTATTGCTGAGAGGCCATTTTTCCCCTTGGTTTTCTGCTTTCAATATATTTTACATTGTTCGTACTTGTGCAACTTGCGCCCCATGGCGCAGAGGCTGGGGGAATGTTATTTATGTCGTTGGTTCATCACAAATTCTAATTTAATAATTTTTCAAAGAAGTGGGATTTGTTGGACTTGTACTTCAGAAGCGAGGGAAGTTCTGTTTTTTATTAATAATACTTTGTGGCAAAGTAATTTAAAAAACTATATTTTAGTCCTTTCGTGTCAAATTCGCTTGAAAAACGAACAGCAGGAGCATCTCCGGAAGGGAAATGTCCCGTGATCACCTGCTTGACCGCAGGATGTTCCTTCCGGGGAAACCTCGGGCCCTCTGACGCGGGATGATATCAATCTCACTAGGTGCAAATGATTTCCAAATAAAAATATACAAAAAATTTGAATGCGTACCGTTCTGTTTGAAGGCTAACAACTTTATAATTACCGCCTTTACCTTATTAAAAATGCGAGATGAGTGTAGGATGCCCGATAAAAATGCCTGGCCTCATACTCATACCACTTCCAGGTAGTACAGTCTGAGGTAAAGTTATGCGATGCGTCTGTACCATCTCAGCGCTAATGTTATTAATTAATCTTATTGCGTTCTCACGTGTTATCGTCGTTATTACGTTATTGGGGTTTGTTTAATGGTTCAGAGCTGTCGTGTTTTGATTAATCTTGACTAATTGTGATTGTTTTACACGGTTCTGCTAATATTTGGTTGTGGTATTAGGTGTAATTTGGCAGCGGATGGTCGAAATTTATGCAATACTTAACTTGTTATTATTGTCGTTGGTTTTGTTTTGTAGTATATAGGAAAGTGGAATCTGTGCATATTTTAACAGTGGCGGCAGGGCTAATTGAGGCTTGTCGACTTTTTAAATGCGTTCGCCTTGTATTTCAGGTCTCTTTAAATTCATAATACGCTTTTGAAAATGTATGTAATCATTATTACTTGAATTTTGAGTGTTAATCAAAATTGAGTAACATAGTTAATATGAATTTTTATTTTTAAATGAGGAGGTTTTTACGTTCAAAAAGTAGTAATAGTAAACAAAAATATTGTAAAACTAAAAATTAGATGAAAGCAGTTCTTTCTAAAAATATAGGAGCTCTCACTAACTGACTTTTTCACTTTATTTTACTACTTTTCAAAGTAGTATTGTTTTACTCTATACTTTGTATATATTTTATATTACATATTTTAACAACTGCTACACAATGAAAATACATGTTTTTTTTATTTAACAAATAATTTAGTTTTTTTTTTACAAATTTCGGAAGGAAATATCTTCAGTTTACCTTCTACAATAAGGAATACTTGGATGTTATTTCGACATCAAATTGTGTTTCATGATTAAAAAATTACAGTTACCTATAAAGTTTAAAATTAGCACTGCATTATTTAGTGTCAACATTATCGTTGTTTTTAAAAATTAGAAACAAGAAAAGAGAGAAACAATTATATACGAAAAAAACTAATGCGTTTTAAACTGCACAAATTCAGAATTAGTAAAATTTTGCATACAATAATAACAATTATTATTATTAAGTATTTTCAATTCAATTAGGTATCTTTAAAATTCATGTGTCACGGTTGACAAGGGCCTTTGTAACAATTATTTTTCCATTATTTTTGCTTGTTGATTATCAAACAAAAGCTGTGTATAGTAAAGACCAGGAATTAGCGAGCATTGCTTTGTATTTCCAAAGGTGTTAACTGAAAGCTGAACGCCCGTTAGGATTATAGCAGCAATAATTTATAAATGTTTGTATGCTAAAACGTGTTCCTGCATGTATGATTCATAGAACCTTTGTTTCATTCAAGCAAGCAAAAGAAAGCTAATTAATAAAAAAATAATAATGAAACATTTTTAGAAACAGAAAGTCATTCTTCTCTGATTCCTGCTTTCTGCTTTAACCAAAATTGATAACTGCTTATCGCTTAGACTGGTTTTGTTCTTGATCGTTTGGGATTTTTACTTTCTGATCTAAGGAAATATTGTAATAAGATCCATCTCACGAATGGCTACTTGCATGATTTCTCGACAAAGTACGTTTCGCATCTCCGTCTGTCTTATGCCTGTTGGTTCGTCTGCGTCGATTTTTATTAGACAAATAATCTCCGAAACTACTGGACCGATTGTTGTCGAAATAACCTTCCACCAATTTTTTTCTGCGTTTGGCACACCATCGGATATCGTCTATCTATATTTTTTCTTTAGACCTTGAACCGTAATTTAATAGATACATATATTTACATTCATTACAAAACAATTCTTAATCAAGATACTTTAAACCTTCATAGTCACCCAGCATCTTATCGTATATGTAGCAATAATAACTAAGTTGTTCTTAAAAAATTCTGTGTTTTATAAATGTGGTCTGATGTATTTTAATTTTGGCAATAACACATTTCGATATAAAAAAAAATACGAATTCCTAAAAATGCATTTTAGCAATTTTTGAAACAAGTATTACAGCTTAATTATAAGCGTAAAATATAAATATATTTTGACTTGTTGGTTTCGAGGCAAGGTGAGTTCTATAATTCATTAGCATCTAATTATAAAATATTAAGATTTAAATTCTTTCCAAGTTTAGCCAGTTTTTCATAGGACTCCCCAGCCGTTCACAGGATAATAGATAATATGTAATTTTTACTCCTCGACCGTAAGCTAAGGAAGTATCGCAATAGGATCCATCCGACGACTGGCTACTTTTCTGTTTTCTTGGCGCTTCATGACCCAAAGAGTATGAAACAATAGCTTTGTTGTTTCTATCTGTCTGTCTGTTGTTTGACGCCTCAGTCCATTTTTATTAAACAGATAATCTCCGAAATTACTAGACTGATCGTCGTCGTAAGATTTATATGTAGTTTAGGAGTATCGTGTAGATAATTGAACTTTAACCAAAATTTGTCTAATCACCCCCACCATCAACTTCATGACGTCATCTCACCATTTTGCGAAGTAAATACCATGTACATTTTATGAAATAACATGTCCCTTTGCTTTTGGTTTATTAATATTCCTATATTTTTACCCAGACATTCAGATTTTTGGAAAAAAAACATTTTACAGTTTAAATTAGAAACTGGAAACAGAATGATCTGGAATCTTACAAACTTTAAAGTTATCGCCAGCATGACAAATCTTTAATCAAAATTTGATCGTTTATCCGTCCAAACCATTGATGACGTCATCTCAATATTTTAGTTGATTAATGTGATGTGATGAGTTGAAGTCATCAGAAAATTTTGTGATGGAAAAACTCATAAAAACATAAAAGTGCAAAATTAAATTTTATAATATTTCTGTCTATATAACTTTCGAGTATTTTTTTACAGTGCAGAGGTCAGAGTCGTTAGCTTTTTTAGCTATTTAGACATGGCTTACCTAAATTTTACTTTTTTTCGTAATAGTTAGTTTGTCATTACTAATATTTGAGAAGTTCTAACTTTTTGGAACTTTTCTTGAATAAATCATGAATTTTCCGTTTTCAAGAATTATTTACGCGAGGAGAAATGACGAAGAACAACAAAAGTTGAAGCTTGAAATGAAGGAAATGGAAGTAAAAATAAATTCAAATAAAATCGACTGCTTACAAAAACTGTGTGTTAAAGGCAATAATTTATTAGCTGATATCTTGAAAGCAAAATACGTAACTAGTGCGGCTGTAGCACAAACGATTTTACAGAGCAAATACCGTCTAAAAGAGGAAAGTCTTAAAAATAAATGTTGTAAAATAGAAAAGTCCATCCAAAAAAGAAAGAGTGATTTAATTAGTCTTTTAAGCAAAAGAAGAATTTATATTTATAAAAATTATAATAGGTTCTTACTTTGTGGAGTTTAATGTTTATTTTGTTATATTTTTATACATTTTTACTTCCCGAGCGTAAGGTAAGTCGAGTCCATCGGCCGAATTGCCACTTTCATATTTTCCGGACGTGCCATGACCTCTACTGTACGAAAAAAGTGGTCTCCCGTTTCCGTCTGTGTGTCTGTCTGTCTGGTGTCTGTATCCATTTTAATTAGACAAGTAATCTCCTAAACTACTATCACATTTTGTATATATATTAGGAATATCATGTATAGAGGGCTAACTAAAATTTGGCTAGTTATCCACACCACCAATGGGATGACGTCGTCTCCAAAATTTATAATAAAAAGTTTTTTTTTATATTTATTAGTTTATCTCTTCCCAAAAAATTCATGACGTCATCTCAAAATATTGCCGAATAAACCTTTCCAAAATGTGCAAAATATGATGAGTCTATACTTGTGATTTATCATTGTATTAAAAGTTTGTAAGTTTTTTATACAGGGTGACTCAAA